CAACTCAGCACAAGACTTACTGAGTTTGACTTGCAAGAATCCATTTATGGCAACAAATAGTGAAAAGTATTTAGTCCCTTTCATTTTACTACATGTAATAATTTTCTCTTTTTGGGTCTCTTTTAATTATAATGGTGATGTCTTTTGCATCAAAACATGAGCATATTTCCATTACATCTTACTACTGTAGTTGCTCTCTTGCTGCTTCAAGCTGTGTGTTAGACATGATTTTCACATCTACCAAGCTCTAACTTGATTGGTTCCATTAGAATAATAAGGACTCTCCTGCGTTGTTCCCTAATTAGACATAGTGTTCCTTGTGGCTATTGTGCCTTTTAAAAAGCATACCCATCAAGTTTTCTTGATAAGGTCATTGGATTTTTCAGTCAACCTAATCCTTTCAGCTGCACTATGGCCCTGGGGTCGATTTAGCATCTAACAGGAATGAGTACAAGGATTCTTCCTGGGAATAAAGAGCAGCCGGCACATAAGGCTGACAACCTCACCGCCTTCTGCAAGCAGATTGTCTAGAAAATGTGGGAGCCTCGACCTCCCCAATCCTCTGGGCCTCCATGGACTGTTACAGGGATAGGTTTACCTTTCTTTACAAGTCAAGCCTGAATTTACCCTCCACGAAGATTCCTGGTGCTCATTTCTGTAAGAGACTTGGTCAATCCCAGGGCCATAGTGTAGCTGGAAGGATTAGGTAATTTCTTAAATCCAATGACCTCATCAGGAATAGAAACTGCGAACTTCCGGCTTATAGTATAGCGCCTCAACCAACTATGCTACCGAGTGCCCTACATGATATTCCATATGGTAACCTCAAAAACTGGTATCATAATTCAGTACCTGAATGTACACAGCTCACTCCTAGACTCACCAAATTCTGCTTATCAGAATCCATTTATGGCTTCAAGTAAATCTGGTAACTTGACTGTTAGCAGATTTGATGGGAATCATCGATGTTTCCATGCTTATAGATGTAATTTCTGCAATGAACAGATTACCACTGTCATTCAATTTGTCCATCTCTTCATCCTTCTCCAGCTGTTTGACATCACAGGCAACATATAATCACTCTGAGGTACCATATTTTTCTGTTGTCCCACCAATAGTTTTTCATGAAAAATTCCATGTATTTAGAACACCTCTTAAAAGATATTCAATTATGACTTGGTCTATAAGTGGTCAGTGCATAAATTTAAATTTATAAATATAAAAGCAATAATTTTAACCTGGTTGCATTATTTAAGCCAAATCCATGAGTCTACCAACAAAATTATGACAAGGAATATGACAAGTGCACAATTATAAGAACTACAAGTGAAAATCATAATTAATTTTTAATATACATTTTTATTAATCCCTTTCTTTGGACCCTATACAATTTATAACTAATCATAATGACATACCTCTTTGGGTAGTTACAGTGTTGTTTTAAACACATCACCAGACCGAAAGAAGATTTTGTTTGTTTTAGTTTTGTTTTAATGGGTGGGGGCAAGTTGGTAACGCATCACATTTGACTAGTATCAAATAGTTCCTCTTTACTTTTAAATCATATCTTATATTGGAATTGCTATGCAGTATGAACACACACACACATACAAATATGAAAAATTGCATGATTATTTGTATCAGAAAGATTTTACATTGGTAGTCCTAACAAGAACAAGCCTGGCTGCATCTTAACATTTCCTTCTAAACCTGTAACCTGAGTCTTCTCATAGAATGGAAATCACACTGATTGCCAACAGATGCCCATTGTCTTGAGAAACAAGGTATGTAAATTACATAGAAATATAATATGTAAATTAGTTTTCTCATTATTATTTCTAGATGAATGCATTTGAAATAAATTCACATAACACAGCAAAAAAATGATTTCCTCTGAAACTGAATTAAACATTTCAGTAATTATGAAGGAATTTATCACGTTGCATCATGCACTGAATTGGAAATAACACTGTTCAATATTTGATCGTCAGCAAAGACTTTTGGTGTAAGTGCTGATATATTGTTTCTGTGCACAGAAAAACAACGTTCCTATGTTGCATTGGATATATGAATAGAAAAGGGGTAATCCAGATTCACTGTATGTAATGCAAGAGGAGACTGTTGAGCTGAAGAGGAAAATAAAATTATGTTGCATTATAATACAAATATGAAGGAAGCAAGTGAGATGGAATATATCTTCTGTTTTTCATTGTGTTGACTGAAGGAACAAACTCAAGTGTATAACAAGAGCTAGTGAAGTCAGTTCGAACATGCTTTGCTTATTCAGTAGCTGCATAATGTACTCAGCTTGGGATGAAATATTTTTGTTTTCACAGCGATTCTTCTTGCTGAATGTTTTTCAGGTGTAACTAGGGATCTTTAAGTTAGAATGATCCTGAACTTGAAAGTCAAAAGGACTCGTATTTGTATCCTTTTCAGGATCATTTATAACACTTTATATATTAACTGTGTCAGTAGCACTGAAGAAGATAAGTATTGTAAGAAAATAACAGATTAAACCAAAATGTACTGGAGCAATTTGAGCCTAACCTAGTGAATAGAGAGAACAAAATGCAGTATAAAGATCATGGAGGTCTTACAGATTTTTCTACTGCTTACCCAAAGGGCACTATTTGCTGAAGTGTAGAACTTCACAGTCTATTAGAAGTCCACAACATTTTGAAGGACCATACTGCTTCCATCTTCACAGCTAAGCAAGAAGCAGGTAGCTGGTTCAGTGAACCATGTGAAGAAAAAAAAAACACATAATTTGATTAGAACACTTTGCTTCTTGCTGCTTTCTTACTTGGCTTACTCTTCTACCCTGAAGATGGAGGCAATATATTTCTCAGAAATTTCGGTTGACTTTCAATAGACTACACAATGTTACATCCCAGAAAACATAAGACTTTGTACCCATCGCTGTGAGAACCTCAAAACCTATAAAACAAATATCAGTGTGAATGAAATGACATATTGCTAATATTCTGTGAGAGACCAACAATGTGAACCTGATCACAGTATGCTTCTATTTAATTCCTTGTTTGACAAGACTCTCACTTTCAAAAAAAAAAAAAAAGAACAAAGTATTTTCAGGAATGTTGGAAAAATGAAGCCTAAATATGAAGTGTAGTCAGATAATTATGAAAATATTTTCTTATAAATCAAAATATGAGGCTGTCTACTAAATAGTGCCATGCCCTTATTAATGAATTATGGAAAACTGGCAGAACTTGAAATAATAATAATAATATTAATAAACAACAACAATAATAATAATAAATCAATTAAAAACAAAGAATTATGAAACATAAAATTTAGCTACAATACAGCTTTCCTATTGTTATGTAGATCAATTCGCTAATTATACTTTTGGCAAATATCTTAATTATGCTATCATTTTCTTTATTGTTACAATCTTTCAGTATTTATATGGACATCCTGCTACTGAGAGCTGGGCAATATAGTGACTGACTACAGGCTACATGACTGGGGTTTGATCCCTGGCAGGGACCACCATATCAAACCAACTTTGGGGCTCACATAATATTGTGACATGTTGCGCAAAGGAGAACCCCCCCCCACCAGCAGTGACGCGGCGGGTGAGTCAGCGCTCCCCTCCCCCTCCTCCGCGTGGTAACGTAACGGTGGTAACAGTGGTTACTACCGCTAGCGTTACTAGCAACACAGCGCCAGGCAACAAGGGTGCTTATTACGTGGCCGTTTTCTGTATTGTCCGATCGAGGCTACATGAGGCGCAGCAAAGGCTATTCACAGTTAGTCCTGGAGCTACCTACGAGTCAGTCCTGGAGCTACCTCCAAGTTAGTTCCGAGTTAGCCAGCAACCAGTCAGTTGTATTGTGGCATTTGGAGTGTACTATTTGTGATACTGCAGATAGCAGTAATCGTAAATCTGTAATTTGGGTGATTGTAAGTGCGAATGTGAAATAAAATTCGCTACATCAAATACGGCGTGAAGTTATTTGTCGCAATATACGCCCAATACGCGACAATATCTTATGCAAAAGATACTTGTGGCTCTTTACCTGAAGTTAAAGTGGCCAGGCCATGAAGCTGACAGCTCACCTCTACCAAGTGCTGAGGTTAAGAATATGCAGACCTATATATCCACTATCCCATATGTGTTTATGGTGTAAAATTTAACTAAACACAGGGACAGCTTTTACCTTGCTGCCATTATGCATTGAAGTATGCCTATTTTTAAGGATAAGTAAAAAGTAAAAAAGTAATTCTGTAAAATAGTTTGAGACATAAACTATAAGGGCATCTGACACAACAGCAAAAATAGAATTTATGAGAGACAATTGATTTAATTAAACACAGAATTCTGAATCAGAAGTAGGAAGTCTCCATCCCATCGCCATTTTCTTTTATTGAAAATTTTAGCTCCATTTAGTGTGATGGGCACTTGTACAAGGTCTTTCTTAAACAATGTTTTGATTGCTTGGTTCTGGAAATACTTAAAAGTGTCACCAATAAAAATAAAATATTCACAGAAGATGATATTATAAAATCTTTATGTAGACTTGAATTAATGAGCAATGGCTGCAATGTCTACATATTAATTTTGATACAAAACACTATGCTACAAGTTGGAAGGTCACGGGTTCAAGTCTCAATGAGGTAATTGGATTTTTTCAATTGACCTAATCCCTCTGACCGCAATATGGCCCTGGGGTTCACTCAGCCTCTAACAGAAATGAGTACCAGGAATTAAATAAATAATTTTCCTGTGGAGTAAAGCGCGGCCAGCGTGTAAGGCTGACAGCCTTACCGCCATCTTTGNGGAGGGGGAGGGGAGCGCTGACTCCCCCGCCGCGTCACTGCTGGTGTGTGGGGGGGGGGCTCGGCTTGGCGCAACATATCACAATATTATTGTTACCGCCATCTTTGAGCCGATTATCTAGATACTGTGGGACCCTCAGCGTTTCACAACCCTATGGGCCTTCATGGCCTTTTACAGGGATAGCCTTACTTTACTTACTTCACTTTATAGTTAGTGTGTTACATACCTCTATCTACAGTTCCTACTTACATCTCAGTCTTTGTTCAGCAGCACTGTTTGGAATGCTTGTTTTAAAACTACAAAGAAACAAATTACAGAGATTCTATTTCTTGCTTTATCCTGAAAACAAAACCTTAAACATAAAAATAGTAATTTGATCTGAAACTATGTTGACATACTCAAAAGACTGCTTAGGCATATGTTGTTTCAGTCTGTGATTTCCCATGTTTATCTACAAGTATATGTATGACAAATTGATTTCTCAAGCCTTGATCTCAAGTCTGCAGATGTCATCCATTATTGGAACATGTGCTGGATACAATTCTTGTACTATGAAAATGAAATAAATTAAAATGAGACAACCTCCATGGCGCAGTTTCTACATTACTGATCAACATAATTTGGTATAAGAAAGTTGTTCAGAATAAGTTCAAGGCAATAAACATTTCCAATGGTGAAATGAAGGCCTTATGGACACAGGTACACACTCTCTGTCAAAGAGGACATATGTTTGTTAGCAAAAACTTTTGACCATTTGATGGTAATTGTCACTGGAATGTTGGGTAATTACATTTTTCACAGTACAAAGAATGAACTCAGTCATCCAGCTGTTCAAAGCAAGGTGATGCCCCCAAACATTACCTTTCATGTTCTAATGCATTGAAATGATGAGATTTAAAATTCCCACATGGTTCTTCAAACATTTTAATTACATTTCTTGTGTGACACCAAAACTACTTATTAAGCAGCTCTTAAAAACCATGTTAGAGGACAAGTAAGCTTCTGTTCCTCTCTTTATTGGAGAAAGAGATAAAATGTCATATCTTTTCTTTCTGTTTGAAATAAAATATTGCAATGATTGTTTTCTCACACACACACACACACACACATGTACATACATGCACTGTTATACAGAGATATGCCAAACCTTCAGTAACAAACTTAAAAACCCATAAATATAATATATAAGTAGTAATACATAGTAATAATTACATTAATCATTATAGGAAATTCATCAAAATCCTTATCTTCTCACAAAAAGGATTTGTTTCTTTGTAAATTCTTGTTTCTTATATATATCAAACTTTGCTTTAGTTAACAATTACTTGCTAAAATTTAAGAATGTCACTTGATAAGGGGCACAGATCATGATATGTTTAGAAAGTGGTGTTTTTTAACCTATGATTTAAAGCAGGTTAATTAGAGAAGGCGAGAGTGGCTAGTTTTTCTTCTTTTTTTAAATAGTTTTCCCATTGATATTATCACATTATACCTGCTTTTACTACCATTTCATATATATTTGGAAACACATTAAGGACTTAACAACATTCTACAGTTTTGGGGCTCAAAGACTTACAGAATCTAACCAATCAACCAATCTGTCAACAATTCTTTAGCAGGCACTCAAATCAGTTTATAAAACACAGTACTCCACAAATTATGTAAAACAAACACTAAATCTAAACTATCAGTACAGATGGGTATAACTAGATGTGAGAAAAATTCTTCATATCGTGCATAATTTATCTAAAGAATGGTTAGAAAGAAAAATATAAAAATTCCAGGATGTCTTATGACAATAAAGAAAGGTACACCGTGTCTTCTCTCTTATAGAAACTAGGTATTATAAATCCTTGATCATCTGTCACATGAAAATTCAGTCATTCAGAGTCAGCCAGGAAGCAAAGTATTGTAGCTACATAGAACATACACACAAACACACATACACAATATGCAAAGCTCGAGCAGAATAAGGCAGTACTTTAATCATCCTTCAGTTATAGCCCTGATTAGTTTATACCCTTCATTCTTAAATTATTAAATTGCCATGAACACACAAGTAACACTTTCAACCACATGCAATGCAATGAGTTAAGTACCATGACCAAAGAGACAATATATACCTTCTTGTTCTAACACATTTGGAAATAACTAAAACACTTATTTGTAAGTCATAATACTGTTCTGCAGTCTATTTAAAATTATCCCCAAGAAAACATTACTAAAATATTACCATTACCTAATATACAGTATATTTATCATAAACACAGTTTCCAGTTATCAAATAAAATCCTGCAGAGACAATGAACAAAAGGGTCCTGTTGTCCACCCTTTGAGCCCCATTCAAACAGCATTCTTCTGCACGTGAAGTGTAACGAGCAGTTATCTTACAAGTGTATAGTTCTGTTGCAGTATTCAAACAAACAAATGCACAAGAACAAACAATGACATTCAAAAGGTTCGGATTGCATAACAGGTAATTTTTATAAGCTGATATGTTTATTTCTGCTGATTTGCCCCCGCCCTCCCCTGTAGCATTGAGCTGCGTTTTGTCTTTACTAGAGACAAACAATGGACGGAAATTTTCCAGAATGGATCTGTTGCATTGTGCAGGAACCACATAAATACCATCCTTCTTAATAATTCATTTTCTGGAGGGAAAATTAGACGGTTAAAACATTTAAAATATATGCTTTTGAAGCAATGATTTGTTTACTACAATAACAGTTAACACTGGCATACTTGCTTCGTATCTATTCATTTATTTTGTATTTTAAGTTGTGGAACTGTGAATATTTAATTTAACAAGCAGCTGAAACTTGCTGCACACTGTGAACACCTGCCTGATGTGTTCATCAGACAAATTAATTTTCAATTTTATTAGAATCACATGAAAAATGTGACTGCGTCTACACAATGCAAACAGACCTGATAAATCTGCATACAAAATGGACCTGTAAGAGGAGAATCCAGAGTGGGACATGTACTGGTAAACACCTTTCGACTCTTTGCACTATAACTTTTCAATTTCTATGTTAATTTCTATTAGATAACTTCACTAAAGTTACTGAAATACGGAAAGCAAACACTACACAATATTTGTTCATATATTCCCCAGTACTTTCCTAGTCTGTACCTCCACTCCAGTGGCCCAATAAATTTATATCACATCAACCTTACACTTAAAGCAACTACTAATAAGATTCTATAAATCTTTTTTTCTTTTCTTATAAGACTCTACAAGTTATTAACAAACAGAAATTACATTTCCATCTGCAGTGAATTTCAGCACTTACCCTTTTCAGTCCTCCTTTGTATGCGTGCACGCAACTTTCATACTACAGCGCTTTCTTCTTGCCTGAACTCCAGTGTTCCTATAGATTGTCCTTTGCACCTGAAGCTTTCAGTCTCTGCTTTGGTTCATACACATTGTATATAGGTCATACAACGCTAATATTGGGTGCAACTCAGCTGTTAACATCTGACCACCTAAGAAGTTTCGTTCAAACCTCAGATAAAAAAATCTAATAAACTGTACCATGATTTATGTTCTCCATTTGTTGGAAATATCCAGTAGGCTAAATTGCTGACACAAATGAGCTAAAATCTAGAGACAGGTGGTCACTTTAGTCACAGGAATTACAATATTATTACACTCATTGAAAGTAATGATATGATATATACAAATTATTATACTACCATATAAAGTATGCATCACATTTTACCCCAGAAAATTTGGCAAACTGCCTAAAACTAATTTTCACAAGATATTGATTCCAGCTACAAATATATGCTGATAGGAGGAGGTGAGAGAAAGCACTGGTTTTGATATGGTTCATATGATATGCCTGGATAGATCGTTTTGGCATCCTGCGTCTGCCCTCCTGCGTCCATATTGCCGCCCATGAGGGATGACACAGCATGGGCAGGACCCGTATTCTGAGCTTGGTTTTCACTATACATTTATAAATAACAAAGTCTCTTCTCCTCCTATCAGTTTCGATATAGTATAAGAATTTATTGCTATTAATAATAAATATATTAGGAGAGCCAAACCAAAAGTACACTCTTCTATTCAAATAAATCGACACAGAGTCACCTCTCATAATGATGATAATAAATCTAACTAATGGTTGTACCCCTACAACAAGAACCTCTAACTGCACACTGGAACATACAGTAAACTACTGTACAATATTACTTTGGTTTTCATTTCCAAGAGTCATGACTACTTGGACTAAACAGGCATCATCATCACCATTATGTAAAATTAGTACAATACATTTACATCTAGTAATCTAAAACATAGCATATAGGGCACCTTTGGTTTCAAGCCTCTGCAATATTTTCTTTATTATTAGTGTATGCTGCCACACAGAAGCATGGCTTTCAGCATTGTCATTCCAAGATGTCATTGTTTCATGTCCCCAGTATTTTGTGAAGAATTCTAAATGCTCTTTTCTTAAAGGAGCTGTATTTAACATTCGTTTCAGCTTGTCTATCTCTTAGTTCACCTGAAATTGTAATTCTGGTGCACCTCTTCTATGATCTCTTTCCAAAGCAATATATTACCCTAACTGAAAACCGCAGCATGATGGCATACAATCACTGGTTCTGACTATACGAAAATGTTTATTCTGTAACATGTTGACCTTCCTTGCTATTAATAATAATAATAATAATCATCATCATTAGTTATCTGTTATTATTAATTAAATACACTATATCATAATTACCACACTGACAGACCAGTCTGCAGTGTGAAAGCAAATAACAAAGAAAGAATGAAATAAGATATAATTTCACTGGATTAATCTACTGCAGTGGTGGCAGTATTATGCCTTTCATATTGTTGATGGAGTTTTCCTCTGCTGTACAAGGTCTCAGCAAGGCAATCCCAACTACAAGCAGGTGCCTAGGTCAGGTGCTAAGTTGTACGTAAGGATAATTAAGATTGTCCGTTTTCTTCTCCCTTGGGTCCCTGCAACAAAGCACATTGTGCAAATTTCAAATTCAATTCAACAACAACAACAATAATAATAATAATAATAATAATAATAATAATAATAATAATAATAATCTTTTCCATTATAAGGTTTATTCAGATATCTTATGGATAATGCAAAGCCTATTGAGACTTGTTATGGATATTACAAGACAAAATTATTCAGTTACAGCAGTCATACAGGAATATTTTACTTAAGTAAATATTAATAAGTTTATCAAGGATTCATGAACGTTCAATAGGTAGCCCAGAAAGTACAATCAGGGTGTCTAAATCTTAGCTTCATACATAACATTTTTAATGCTAATTGGAGGTAAGCAGTCAGTGTCAAGCTGTGGCTACTTTTACTCCTTAGAAAAGAGCTTTCAGTACCAATAATATTGACTGGTTCATGCATTATTCGCTTCTTCAACTGCACAGATTATATAGTGCTGAGAAGGAGGTGACTGTCAGTGATGAACTGGAAAGGCTATGGAATGAAATGGTCATGACCTCCTTCAGGACACTGTTCCAGTATTTTGTTGGAGAATCTGAAGAAATCCATGAAAAAGCTCATTCAGGATGTCCAGTTGCTTGTCCAAGCTTCAAGCTTGGGAAATGAAGCAACAGTGCTAAGCCATAATGTTCAATCAATTCCTGCTACACAAGGACACAAATAATTAGTCAAAATCTTAGAAGCCAACAAAGATGTATGGGGACCAATCATAAAGCAGTCACCAGGTCTCACTCTACTTAGCAGTACACTGCAAACAGGCATGTTCTCATCTTGATTACAAATTCATTACATCTGCCTGAACCATGGTTTCACCCTAAAGTGGTGCTAAACAGATACAAAATGCGTGCTAACTGTATATTGTGGCATATAGACCCGTTGCTAAGCAGTGACTCTGTAAACATTGGCCGTTGCTAGGTAACATATGCAACATTCCCACAAAAAAACAGTAGAGCAAGCTGTGTTCTCCATGTGTCCAGTAGCTGGGGCAGGAGCAGTGATGTCATACGTCAACAGTAGGTGGCTGTCATGTGACATGATTTCCTGCATGTCCGTCAGCTGTGCATACGTGGTGACATTACACATCAACAGTGGGTAGGGGTCACGCGATATATGTTTACTGAAGAATGCAGTCTTCTGGGATTTGGCACCGTGTATATGTGGTGTTAACCGACGTTTCGGAGGAACGTATCGCCTCCATCTTCAGGGTAGAAGAAAAAATATAAGAAATCTGCAAGCGAAGAGACCGTGAGAACCGGT